CATCGTGTTTTGCATTTGTTGTTTTTAAATATAAAGAAGATGCACAAAAAGCTATTGATCAAATGGATGGAAGGTATGATATGATAGAATAATTTCTCACGACACATTATTATTATTATTATTGGATTCAGATCACATGGAGATAATCGATTAAAAGTAACATGGGCTCGACCAAGAACTCGACATCGTTCTAATCGTCATGATCCAAATATGCGATGTTATAAATGTGGACAACGAGGACATTTTAGGTAAAAGATTTTTATTTGTACATTTCGATATATATATAACTTCGTATTTAAATTTAGTCGTGAATGTGATGGTCAAATGCTTGATGGACGTGGACCAAGACGTCGTGAGGACGATTTTGGTCGATACCCACCATCAAACTATGATCGTTTTCCGAGGTATGATTGGTTACTAATATTGAATGACAACAAGTCTATATAAATTGGATCATAATATACATCTATAGCTGGTGTTACATAGTCTTTATATAAATCCTTTTGGATATGTAACAAATTCTGAAGAAAGCGAAACCTAGGATAGATAAAAAGAAAATATGAAATTTATAAGTATCTATGCATGATGTAAAAACATAAAAAAAACTTTTCTTGGGAAATGGTTGTATTGGACCGTATTTGATATTTTGGAAAAGAGATATTTATATATGAATAACGATGGATTTGGATTCATATGGAACTTTAGGTCACGTTCACCGCAACCACTACCACCACCAACATACTTTCGTCATGGAATGCCAATGTATCCAGCATTTACACGACGATATGATCCATATTTAGATGGTTATTTTCCACCACCAGAACGATCGGGTGGTCATGAATATCGTTTTAGAGAACGTGGTACACGATTAACACCACCATCAGCAAGTGCCAGATATAATCGCCGGTAATTAGAAAAAAAATAAGACAACAATTACTAAAATTTTTCTTTATTTGAAATCGTAGATGAATATTTTTTGAAAAATTTAATTTAACTACTCCATTTTATTCAAAAGAAAACTTTCGTAAGTTTTTGGATGAAACAAACACAGTTTGGTTTTTGCTCATTGTAATAAATTTAGACAAAAAAAAATACATTTAATGGCCAATATATATATCCGTGATATATTTGATATTATTAATCCAGAACTTATGTCATTTCCTTTTTTGTTGCTTAAATGTAAACGTATTCCTATTTGTTTTCTTTTCCGTTTGACTACAATTATTGTATTGTAACTTTTCTTTTTTTCAGGACGTATTTTCTTTTTGTTGTGCTTTTAAAATTTATTTAAATTGAATCTTTTTCTCTCTCTCTTTCTCTTCATCAATGTATCTCAATGTTTAAATGTTGATGTCTTTCATGCATTGTGATCAATTTCTGATGCTATTATTGCCATAAAAAGAACACATCATTTCTTGTTTGTTGCTTTATGTGTATTTGAGTGTGCTTTTTTGTTGTAATTTTAAAATAATTTTAATT